TTTGTTGCTCCGTAACATGTTATATTCTCATATTTGAAACTTAATTACTCTTTGCATGTCAGGAATATGATCAATGGGGAAATGTCATATGTCATGGTGATAAACATGTCATAAATGAAGGGCATAAGAGCTTTCCAAGTGGGCATACTTCAAGTGAGTTCTGCTAATGCTATATATTTAAGTGAGGAGTCCAATGTTGTTTTTGTAAGAGAAAATGGATTGAAATAAGTCAGTTGGATGCCAAAATCAAAGCTATGCTTTTATTTATTTATTTATTTTTTGAGGGATCCATTATATTTCGGGAATAATTGGATTCTTTTGTCAGTCTCCTTTGCCGGAATGGTGTTCCTATCACTGTATTTATCTGGAAAAATACAAGTGTTCGACCGCAAAGGCCATATTGGAAAACTTTGCATCGTCGTTTTCCCTCTACTTGTTGCAGCTTTTGTTGGCATTTCTCGAGTTGATGACTACTGGCACCACTGGCAGGACGTCTTTGCGGGAGGTTTACTGGGTTTGTGTAAATCTTATTCTGTATTGAAACTACTTTTCGATTCATTTGTTGTACAACTTCACTGAAGCATCTTTGGCAGGGCTCATCGTGGCTACTTTTTGCTATTTGCAGTTCTTCCCACCACCATATCATGCTGAAGGTATGCCCCTGACCATGTAATAAAATTCAAATCTTGACAAGAATAGATAGATTTTGGAAATGGTATTATTGAGCTCCATATTGTTGTAAATTCCCATGGAAGACAAAAGTTGGAACTTTCCTAAAATGGGCTGAAACACCAACTTTGGTTACCTCGGTGGTGGTCAGCATTATTGGTTTGCTCAAATTGAATTGTATTCTTGTTACTTTACCGATCTTTTGCACGTATTATTCTGTAGGTTGGGGACCGTATGCATACTTTCACATGTTGGCAGAGTTAAATGCAAGAACTCAAGAAGGCAGTGCTGCGAATTCACACTCTGTACGGACCGTCTCCGTACAGACCATGGGGTCTCAGGCTTTGAATGAACATGATGAAAGAACCAGTACTGGATTTACTGGGTTACCCTCAGCATTTAATTCTAGTTCATCAGATTTAGAAGCTGGGAGGAGATAAAACATTTTTTATCTTCTATTTTCAGCTCCATCTCAAATTTTGATTATGCAGGATATAGCTTGTGTACAGAACCTTTTTCATTTTTTGTTCTCAATTTACATTAGTCGTCTTTTCAATCTCCAAATGTTTTCATTTTCTATTATTCCAATCAAATCGATTGCCAAATGTTTTTATTTAGACTCCACGAAAATTCGATTAAATCTTTTTGTTCTTAAAAATGAATAATTAATACTAAGTAGTGATGCAATTTTTTCTCTCTATTTTATCTATTACAATCTCATTTTAAATATGTTTCCTAATTAATTGTGTTTTACAACCTGGCCCGGCCTGGGCGGTTCAACCGGTTCAACCAGGACCCGAGGCTTTCATCAGGCTGGTTATCAATTTTGACTGTCCATGGCAAACTCTAGAGATTACGATGACGATCACTGAACAATTAGTATTTAGACTCCACAAAAATTCGATTAAATCTTTTTGTTCTTAAACATGAATAACTAATTCTAAGTAGTGATGCAATTTGTTCTCTCTATTTTATCTAATACAAACTCATTTTAAAAATATTTCCTAATTAATTGTGTTTTACAACATGGCTCGGCCTGGGCGGTTGAACTGGTTCAACCAACACCTGAGGCTTTCATCGGGTCGGTTACCAATTTTGACTGTTCATGGCAAACTCTAGAGACTAGGACAATGACCAGTGAACAATTAGTGGCTGAAATGTTGGGGCTTTAAAGAGGAAGGGTCAGTGAGTCGAAAGGTAGTGACGGAGGTGATTTCCAATGAGTGAAACGACAGGAAAAATCACAAAAATTGATCGACAACAATAGTGGGTTGTTGTTCGCGATTGGCGAGGCGAACGAGGGAAGGGTGAGATGGGTTTTGGTTAGGAGGTTGAGGGGAGAGTTTTCATGTGATGGGGTGTGTTGTCGACATCAGAAACAGGCCCTATTTGGCCTGAACTGTCAATGTCGACGGTGTAATTTGGGATGTTTTTGTAGGATTTCAAACCTGTTGGAACTTATGGTAATTTTAGGGGTGTTTTTTGAATTTCAAACCTTTGAACATATTGACATCATCAATTTGACCAGTTGGTCAAACCAATTCAACCAGTCTCGGCCACTTTGTTAGGTTTCACCCAGGCGGGTTTTAAAACATTGCTAATTAAACCTTTATTCTTAAATTAAAGGATATTTCTGGCTTAATAATTTGACTTAGAGCAAACGACATAATCCCACCCGAAGTTTGGGGAAATCCCAAGTTGGTACCCCTGGTTCAATTTATCTCGTTTTGCCACTCTTAATCTAACACCGTTCGCTTGATTTTAACAGCAAAAGGGTAAAAACGACATTTAAGACAAATTAATTCAAATAATAAAGAAGCCTAGGGAAATGTTGCAAATTAAATTCAAATAATAAAGAAGCCTAGGGAATTGTTGCAAAATGTGTAAAGAAGGATAATGTATGACGGTTGGATTTATTGCAGAAGTCAGGCAAAAAAAAAAATCTCTGAACACTCTTACACTTTCTCTTTCAAACAAAAATGCAGATTTTTTTCTGAAAATTTAACCCATAGACATTAACCCACAAATCTCATCGCCTATGCAACAAAAATGGTAGCCATTAATCCCTGTGACCTTCTTCCCATCCCATACTCGAACTCGTAAGCTTACTAGATACGGTCTCTCACTACCGCTTTGACTCCCTAACAAGATGAACAAAATCAATATTCCAATGAATATCCTTATCTCTTCATCATCCTTTTAGCTAACACCCTCCCTTTTTGGCCTCACCGAATCCTTGCCGCTTGGTTGTTCTGCTTTGACTCCCAAACAAGATGAACAAAATCATTCGTACGCTTATCATCTTCGTCAGTGGCATTTGGTGAAAATCGTAAATCGTAAACAGTAAATCGACATTAACGACAACCGTAAACCGATGAATACGAAACGACAACCAGACCTAGACCCATTAACCCGAGACCATCGTACCAGTCACGCAGACACAACCTTGGGCGGAATACGAGCCATCAACTAGAAGAGAAGTCTCACTGGTTAGAGAAAGAAGAACGACGGGTAAAGAAAGATGACGGTTCGAGGAGATGGATGATATGGCGACGTGGTCTGCGGCAAGGTATATCGAAAGTTGATTTATGCATTTTTTGTATATGGTTCGTGCTGGATTTTTCTGTGGATTGGTTTTTTGGTTATGTGTTTGGTGGTAGTGTTAGGGTGGTTATTGGGTGGTGGTAGATGGATTAGTGGTGCATGTTTGTTGGTTCAATGGGGGTATGTTGGTGGTCGGTTGGTGATGGTGATTATATGATGGCATTAGGGTGGTTGTTGTGTGGTGGTAGAATGGTGATGGTGGTGCTAAGAGGCTTTAGGATTAAAGTTAGGGTTTTGGTGCAGTGGTGGTTTAGGATATTCGTGTTGTATGGCAGTGTTAGTGTTGGTAGTGGTATGTGTATGGTGGTATAGTGGTGGTACAGTTGACAGTGGTGTTAGGGTGACTTTTGGTATATTGGTTAGAAACCAGTAATCGTCTTAAATGCTGCTTAGCTAGCAATGGTTGACAACTTTTGGTATAACAATGCCACGTACCTAGGGTGGTGGTATCTTGGTGATGGTGGTAGTAAGGGGCTCTAGGATTAGGGTTAAAGTTTTGGTGTAGTGAGGATTTAGGATATTGGTGTTGCATGACAGTGTTAGTATTGGTGGTGGTGTGTGTATGATGGTACAATGGTGGTAGAGTTGATGGTGGCATTAGGGTGATTTTTGGTATATTGGCTGGAAACCAGTAACTGTCTTAAATGCTATCTAGTAGTGGTTGACAACATCTGGTGTAACAATGCAACGTACCTTGGGTGGTAGTCTGGTGGTGGTAGGGTGGTGATGGCTATTGTAGGGTGATGGCAGTTGATTTTTTGTTTATAGTTGCTTGGTTGTGTTTATTTATGTAGGTTGAAACCAAATTCCTATGACTTTAAAGTTGAAGTGTTTAGTTTAAAATATGATATACTAAATGTCGATTTGGATGAGTATAGTTACATATGTTTATTAAAGATGTAAAACGATGTGTGGCTTCGGAGAATGAGGCTGTCGAAATGAACCCTTATGAGAAGCTTAAGGTAGAGGTTGAGCTACCTTTTCAGGGGCTAGATATGTAGTGGAAAGGGATGATGATATGGAATTCATATTTAAGCAATGTAAGAGTTTTGGCAAATGAGTGATAAGGGTCTATGTAGAAGCCATACCAGTGGACTTTGTTGAACCTATAACTTTATTAGAAGCCCAACCAGAGGACAATAAGGGTTTTGTGAGGCAGGATAATGAGGAAGCTGAAGAAGGTATTCCAGATGAGTTCTATTGGAGTGTTAAAAGTGATCATGAAGAAGACCATGAGGGTGGGTAGGATTGATAGGGAAGTGGGGTGGTTGAGGGAATCGAAATTGGGCAGGGAAGTGTGTGTGTGTGTGTGTGTTGGGGGGGGGGGGGGTGTGAATGTCTGAATACCATGAGGATAGTTTATATAAAAGTTCTACTGATGATGAAGATGCAGTAACTAGGTTTAGTAAGCATATGAAGGGTCAATAGTTTGCAGATAGGGATAATGGGAAAATCCAATTCAAAGTTGGTAAGTGTTTGAAGGAGTTGATCACTTTAAGAAGGTGTTTCGAGATTATGTAATTTAGAAGGGGTTTTCTATTAGGAAAATTTACAATGAGAGAAGAAGGTTTAAGGTCAAACGTAAGCAAGCAAACTATCCCTTTCATCTATATGCTCATTTGATGCCTAATGATGTGTCTTTTTAGTTTAGGAAGTGTAGGCACACACATACATGCACGAGGGTTTATAATAATAGAGAGGCAACAAGTGCTTGGGTGGCTAAAAAAATGAGAGACTTCATTAGATCCCAAAAGGGTTCATCAATTAAGCCATTGGTAGAGGCGTTAGGTAGGAAATACTATTTGCAGTTGTCTAGATCCAAACTTTATAGAGCTAATAAGTTGGCAAAGGGGAGGTTAGATAAGCTCTATGCAGAGTCCTTTGCTGGTTTGTTGAAATATGATCATATTATCAAACATACCAACCCAACTTCCATGTATAATGCGAAATCTATTAGTCCAGAAAGGATTCCAAACTTTCAGAGGTGTTTCTTAGGATTTGCATCACAAAAGAAGGGTTTAATAGAGGGTTGTAGGCATTTTATAGGTGTGGATGGGTGCCATCTTAAAGGGCCTTATGATGGAGTATTATTGTCAACAGTTTCTATGGATGCTAATAATGACATTTTCCCAGTAGCAATTACCATTTGTGAGATAGAAAACAAGGAATCATGGAGATACTTTATGACCTTGTTGAATGAGTTTATAGGGGACATTGACCCTATCACTATCATGAGTGATAGACAGAAGGGTTTGGTGGATGCTATACATACCTGTTGGTCAAATGCTAGAGTTAGACATTGTGTTATACATGTTTATACTAACTTTAGGAAAAAATTCCTTGGGTTGAGGTTAAGGAACTTGTTTTGGGCTTTTAGTAGGGCTGTCAATATCATTGATTTTCGGCAAGCCATGGAAAAGCTTGAAGTTGTAGATAGATAAGCTCATAGATGGATGATTGAAAATGATGTGAGATCTTGGTCAAGGCATGCATTCGACCTTGATTCCAAATCTGATCATGTTACAAATAACATGTGTGAAGTCTTTAATAGTTGGTTGGGAGAGAACAAAGAATTACCCATACTAAGCTTATTAGAGCATTATAGGAAGGGGGTTATGGTACAGATGCAAACTAGGGCAAATGCTAGGAATGATTGGGTCACAACTGTTCCCCCTGCTGTACATAGGAAAATCAATGGTTTAATTAAGCCTGCTTGGAATGTTGAAGCTATTTGCCTAGGAGTGATGAGTTTGAAGTGGTGGATAACAACTACCTTCTTAGTAGACATTACATCTTAAACTTTCAATCTCAAACTTGTGACTGTGGAATGTCGCAACTTTTTAGAGTCCCTTGTGTGCATGCAGTCCGCTGTTTGCTTTTTAAGAACATTAGAAATATGGAGGATTATGTGGACTCTTTATTGAGGATCACTTCATACGTAAAAACATATGCTGATCACATTCACCCCATATCTGACCCACTTAGTTGGCTTGACTTGCTTGGAGATAAACAGCTGAATCCACCTATCAAACATAGCAAGGTTAGGAGACCCAAAAAGGCCAGAAAAAAGGATGCTGATGAAGAACCAAGGATGACTAAATGTGCAACACTTAGGTGTGGGATCTGTCGAACTTTGGGACATAACAAGAGAGGCTACCCACAAAATCATTCAAACAACAAGAATCAAAGGGTATTTTAAAGCTTTTATTTAACATGATTAGTATTGTTTTTGTAATAGAATTTGCTTGCATTAACATTTGTTTTCTTTGCTTTATTTGAAGAGGAGAAGCTTCATCAGCCCCAACAAGTCAGACATGTCAACATTGAAGCAATTGTCAAGGGCAGCAGGTTAGTGTAACATCAGTCCTTCAAATTTTAACATTGTTACATTGCTTCAAACTATCAAGGGTAGCCCCTTAAATTGATTTTATGATTTTTTTTAGGTACTTAAGGAGTGTGGAGTTGAAGCATGCTGTTGTGTTTTGGTGTGATAAAACTGCAGAAGCATGATGTTGGTTTTTTTGGATGTGTGGAGTTGAAGCATGCTATTGTATGTTGGTGAAATTTGGGAAAGTTGTACATAGGACTTTCTTTGTTAGTCTTGGTGTGCAAATATAGTGTGCTAATATTGTACAAATAGCAACTGATTTAGGTTGTCTCTTGTGAATGTGGTAATTGATTTAGGACTGCTACAGTGGGTTTTTTGATGTAATATACAGCTTTAATTTTCTGTTTTTGGGCTGTTGATCATCACATTTCAAGGCCAAATTATGTATTTTTCATATATATGTTCAATGCAAAAGTGTTTAACTCAGTATGTATGGTTGTAGTATGATCTTTGATGTTGGTTTTGTGTAGGATGTGTTTATGTTCAAACTTGAAACTTTTCAGGATGTATGCCAATTTTTAAGAAATATTATTTTGCCATTATACAGCTAAACCCTCAACATTCAAACAATTGTTGCTAAACTTTCAAACGGTTGAGGGGCATTAGGGTAATTTCATTATATTTGGAAAATAAACTGAAGATAGGGGCATTTTTGGCTTTTTACATGTCTATTTAGTTTTTTATTTGCTAAATAATCTAAAGTCAAAGGTTGGATATTTCAGTCATTGTTATTCGCTATCGCTGTGTCAGATCCATCAGCTATTAACAGTGTTAGATTAAGGGTGGCAAAACGGGATAAATTGAACCAAGGGTATCAACTTGGGATTTCCCCAAACTTTGGGTTGGATTATGTCGTTTACTCTTTGACTTATAGCCGAACTAAATTTCTCAGACTTAAAATAATCGCATGGAATGGGCTTTTCATGCGAAAACAAGTAAACAACGGACGGACTGACAGTTTTTTTCTCTTTTCTCATAGATTTCGCCTCACCATTTATCAGATCTTTCAATCAAACAAAACATTCAACAAATCAAACTGTACACAAACACCAACAACCATTCATACTTCATATATCATCCAACAAACACCACCAACAACTTTATGTCATCCAATACTAAAAAACAAATCAAATCTAAAATAAATTTATTGAAAACCCCTAACTTTCTTGGCCATAGATTATAACTTAGAGACTAACATTCTTTCCCATTTTTGAGATGTGTGGATGACGATTTTCAAGTTCTGATTGCCAGGATTCCAACTATCTACTTCACCGGATCCGATTTGACGATGAAGGTGCGGCGGGCAAGCTTCATTAGCCGGCTCCACTTCTGTTTGTCAGAAAAATGGAAAAAATGAAGAACATTTTCGTTTTTATATGAAGGGCAAATTTGGGAAAGACTCATTGTTTTAGGTATAAGGATTTACAAAATTGGTTATTTTCGTACAACCTTCTCACATTTTGGTCATTCTTAATAGCAAATTATTGGATGAGAAAAAGCAAAGTTCACATGTTTCAGAAAAATTAAAAATTAATTAGGTAATTACTAATTAGAATACCCCAAATTAGGGCTGCAAAAAAAAAAAAAAAAAAAAAAAAACCAAAACCGAACTGAATGGAAAACGACACTGGAACCGGTTCGGAAAACCGGTTAACCAGTTAATTGGTTTCGGTTTCAGTTTCAAAAAATGGCTGAACTAGATTTCTGGTTTGGTTTACGATTTATAGTATTTTTATAACCATTTAACCGAAATCGATTTAGTAAACCGGTTTTCCTATTAATATAATAATATTATTCTAAAAAATAAAAATCCCTAATTATCTAAATCCTAAATCTAATATTACTTTTGAATTTTGAATCCGTGAACTACGACCCAACTTCACAGTTCACACTTGACAGTCGACAACTCCTCTCTTCTCAAACTCGACAGTCGACAACTCCTCTCTTCTCAAACTCGCCACTGCCATCTCCATTCTCCAAGACTCCAGTCGTCGTCGGCCTGTCGTGAATCTCCGACGACAACCCTTCTCAAACTCGTTGCCTCCCTCTCCACTCTCCAAGACTCTAGTCACCAACCCCTCTCAAACTCGCTATGACGCTACCTCCCTCTCCATTTTCCATTCTCCAAGCTTCAACAACTGACCTTTGGGCTTTGGCTGTGACGAGTTCACTATTCAGTCTTCGCATTTTCGCAATCTTCATTTTTCAGTCTTCAGTCTTCAACAGCGATTGACACTTTATTGTGGCTAGATTAAGCTCCTGTGTTTGAGGTAAGTTTTTATTTTGGGTTAATTTGTCTTCAAAGTATGAACATGCCTGCACATACTTGAATAAAGAGTGGGTCCTGGGAACGTAGATGGAATACTTTGGATCCTAGCTATCAGATTTATAGCTGGCGAATGAAGCTTTCTTTAAACCACTTTTGTCCCCTGTTCAATTACCACAACTATCGAGTTCTTCTCTGGTTTTTGAATTTTGAGTTGGGGAGTATATGGTATGGGGAAAAGTATATGATTTTTGGTGTTTCTCTAGTGTTTGTGTTGGTTGTGGCGTTGTGAAGGCTTTTTCTATTGGTGGTGTGTTGGGGAGATGGTTGGATAATAATGATTGTAACATAGGTGATGCCCATGTAATTAAAATTTTATCTGGCTTGACAGAGTTAAACGTTTTGTATATGTTGTTGTATCCACTCCATGTTAGCCCTTATATAGAATATTCTAATAATACCAACCCTCTTCTAGTTTTCCTTCTGATGAAAAGGTTTAGTTTGACGTGAGAGCAAATAAAATCTGCTATTAGTCTTTTATGTGCTTCTTAAATGTTTCGTGTAATTTCATTGCTAAAAGCTTGAATGGAAATTTCTGTGGTCCTGTACCATCCTTTACCTCACAAATTCTTGATCATTATTTATGATTGATATTCAAATATACATTGTGGTGTCTTGATGAGTGATGATAAGATCCTTTGAGGCACTTTACAACCTTAAAAATTTTGTTGGTGCAATATGTGCATTTCCTCAAATATTGTGTGCAAATAAAAGACATATGATGTCAAGAACAGAGGCCTCATTTTGTTGAAATCATATTTGGATGGTTCTCTTTGGAGTCTTGGCATTAAAATACAAGTTCGTTCCCCAATAAGAGACACAAAGCCAGCCTTTCGCAATATCCATTTTATTTTGGATTGTTTAGCCGTGCTTTCCTTTTGCTTTTGTTTAGAACTTTAGATTGATTGCTTGGGCCTGTTCTAGGACCCTATTTTTGTAAAGATCCTTTTTTTTTTTTTTTTGGAGATTCATTCTTTTATTCTTTATAAATTATCATTAAATTCTTTTCGAATTTTGCAAATATCGTCGACTGGTGACAATGCTCGTGCTTGTCAGACTTCAAGTGACATTCATTCATCGAATTCGACACCTGCAAATCCAACGACTTGCATGACACCAGCGCCACATCTAACCCAAAAACGTGGGACTTTTATTACTCAAAGGAAGAACACTTCGAAAATGTGGGATCATTTCACCAAGATTGATTCTGAGAATAAGGATAATGTCACTGCATCATGTAATTACTGTGGGAATGTTCTAGCTTGTCCAAGTAAGAGCAGTACAAGTTGTTTGCATAAGCATTTAAGTAGATATAAAAGTATCCTTTGAATGTGGTGGACAAGAAGTAGAAGATAAAAGTGTTTCAACAAGCACAACAGGCACGTGATTAGTCGAGTAGCGTTCCACATTCTTCACTTTTGACTTGGAAATTCGACCAGGATGTGGTTAGATAGGCCGTAGCTAAAATGATCATTGTTGATGAGTTACCTTTTAGGATTGTTGAGCGTGAGAGATTTCGGGAGTTGATGAGTGTGGCTCAGCCAAGGTTTCAAATGCCTAGCTGAACTGCTTCAGATTGTATTAAAATATATAATGAAGAGTGCCAAAAGATGAAGAAGTTCTTTGCTAAGTTTTTTCAAAGAGTTTCTCTCACCATGGATACATGGACAAGTCAGAACCTCAATTATATGTGTCTAACAGCTCACTTCATCGATGAAAACTGGGTTTTACAAAAAAAGATTATAAATTTCTGTCTAATTATTAGTCATAAAGGTTTAGCGATTTGCAAGACACTGGAGAAGTGTTTGTTTGAGTGGGGTATTTATAAAGTTTTCACAATCACTGTTGATAATGCAAGCTCCAATGATGTTAGAATAAGTTATCTAAAGACTCGGTTGGGAAGTTGGAAAGGGAGTGTCTTGGATGGTGACTTCCTTCACATGAGATGTTGTGTTCATATATTGAGTTTAGTTGTAAAAGAGGGATTAAAAGATATGGACAACTCCATATTCCGAATTCGTTCGGCAGTGAGGTATGTGAGGTCTTCTCCAGCAAGGTTACACAAATTTAAGGAGTGTGTGGCAAGAGAAAAAATTGAAAGTAAAGCTCAATTGGTTCTCGATGTTAAAACAAGGTGGAATTCCACATACTTGATGTTGGATGCGGCATTAAAATTCCAGAAAGCTTTTGAGTTGTTGAAATAGAGAATAGTAAGTATTCAGATGAGCTTAGTAATGGGGAAAGGTTTAGGGTTTGGCCTACATGCATTGATTGGGACTATGCACGATACTTCTTACCTTTTTTGAAAGTCTTTTATGAAGCTACTCTACGTGTCTCCGACTCACTTTATGTCACTAGTAATGCTTACATGCGATACATTTTTGGCATTGGGTTGAAGATTTCAAAATGGTATACAAGTCTAGATCCTGGGTTACATAGTATGGCTCTAAGGATGAAGGGGAAATATGATAAATATTGGTCAAATATTGATAATATCAACCTCATGTTATTTATTGTAGAGGTACTAGATCCGAGACACAAATTAGAATATGTGGATTGAGTTATTAATGAGTCTTTTGATACGGTTCTTGCTGATAGGTTGAAGACAAAAGTGAAGGAAGTTTTGGTGGCTTTGTTTGAGCAATATAGTTCATTTAAGGTGCTCCCTAGTGCTCAACCAAGTGAGCAGACTCGAGTTGTGAATCACAAAACAGAGTTGGACAAATATTTAATGGACGGTTGTGAAGATGACAACAAGAGCTTTGATATCTTGAAATGGTGGAAGTTAAATTCAACAAAATATGAAGCTCTGTCTATGATAGCACGAGATGTATTGGCTATGCTTGTCTCTACCGTTGCATCTGAGTCAGCTTTCAGTACGGGGGGTTTGTGTATTGGATCAATTTCGTAGCTCCCTCACTCCCAAGATGGTGGAGGCTTTTATTTGTACACAGGATTGGGTTCGGGCTTCGCGTGTACGATTCATCATAGAGGAGAGTTTGGACGAAATATCAAAACTTGACATGGGTAAAGTTGTTCCTTTACTTTTACTTTTTTGGTTATTTATTTGTTGTTTTTGTTAAATATATTTTGCAAATATAACTTATCTAATGTGCTTGTCCAATTATTTGTAGAAATTGCGCGTTTCGGATTGGAAAGCACAAGTCATATGGATGATTGAACGACAACCCAATATATGAGGTATATTACTTTTAATTTTTTGTCTTGTATGTCTGATACTTTTATTATTTATAATAGAAAAGAAAACATTTTGATCATATTTTCATTTTTCACAACAATTGTCTTTAGAGGTGATATGGTGTTACTTCTTGGTCCTCTTGACATAGAGGTTTTGTTGGTAAGTTACTGTTTCATTTTCTGGAATATGCTTATTGATATTTTGATTATTTTCTCATTATATTGTTGCTAGGATATCATTTAATAATTGTTGCAATCAATCCTTTTGTATATTCTATTATGATATTTGGCCTTAATACATAATACCAATCTATTTAAATTATTAGTTTTTGAAAGGTAATAGAGAGAGTAAATGTAAGTTTTGCATTCCTCTTGCAGGTGATTCCGTAATTGCACTTGGCCAATTGAAGAATGCTTAAGCCTTAAAGTAGAGGGAGATGCCAGTTTACAACTTTCACTTGTTATTTCTTAATCACTTTTGTACTTGACCATTAAAATTTAAAGGAACACTTTATATTTTATAATAATGTAAGTGGTGATGATTAGTTATTATGCTTGGACGAGAAGAATTTAGTATCATTAATTGGTGATTAATTGGCCAAATTGTTGTGGATCATTTGGTTTTTTGGTCTCTTGAAATTTTGTCATCCAGAAGTAGGAAATTTTTTGATCATAAGATATAAAAAACAAGAAAAAGGAAAGCTTTTTAATAAAACCGGTTTGCAAACTGAAAATCCGGATTGGTTTGCAACTGGTTTATGCCATGTTTTGGATCGGTTTTGGTTCGCAATATGGCTTGAATCGAAAAACCGATTTGGATAGAAAAAGCACATATCCGATTTGGTTAACTAATTTTTTGCAGCCCCACCACAAACCCCGTATGTTTAACGTAAGACCCTAATCCCATTCCGTTAATTTTAACTAATGAAAAGGTATTTTTGAAATTTTCTCATTTTAGAAAGGACACTAACGACTTTTTAGATTTTAAAGAACCCTAACTTTTTCCCCTTTTTTCTTTTTTTATATTTATACTTTCGGATTTTTACTCTTCATCCCCATCGCTCTTTCTTTCCTTCTGTTTTTTTTTTCTTCTCCATTGTTCTTTCTTCTTTTTCCCCCATAAATTCTTCTTTGATATACCATGGTTGTCGTTTACCAGTTGGTGCGGGGCTTCGAAGTAGCCAATTTGAGATGAATGTTGGAGTACAAGTAGAAGAGAACAATGGCTGAAATTTTGTTGGGATAATGTGAAAGCTTATGAAGTTTGTTGGTTGATTATGAATTATAAAAGATTTTGTTAAAAGATTTGTTTGAAGGGTAAAAAGGTCATTTCTCCATTCAACAGATATTTATTAGCGGATTTAACGGGATGGGGATGGGGATGGGGCCTAGCGGGGGGCTATTCTCAATTCTGTGATTAAACTTATCTTAAATAAGAAAGTCTTTTATCATATTAGGAAACATGGTGTAGATTATCCTAATTTCTTTCATGTTAACCTAGAATGGAAAATTCTATAACAAATAAATAAATAACTAAACCAAAGAATTAAAAATGAAAATAAAAGAGTAATATTTGGAAAGTATATTGGTTTCCTATTTCCGTTGAAACTTGACTCTTTTAAGTTTCGTATTCCTAGTTAAAATAGGATTCTCTTAATTAAGTTTATATAAATTGCTCCCAATCACTTACGTCCTCCCCAAGAAATCAAGTTTCAAAAGAGGCAACAACCTCTGCAACTCCAACGAAACAATACATTTGAAAATTTGTAAGTACAATTCTTATTTTTACTCTTCCTTTTTTTTCTTATTGAAATTCAATTTACCAACGGTTACATAAACATTTACATAGGGTTTTCGTCAGGATTTCTTGTTTTTTTTTTTCGTTGAAGATTTTAATTTCTCTTTAAACTGATTTTATTTTCCTATGAAAATTTATAGGCAATAAAGAGAATCTTTTTATTGTTACGCTTGTGATGTTTGTGTGAAAATCAAAACCTTGATAATGCTCATCAAATTGTAGCTCAAAGCCGCAAACCAGAAATCAAGATTTGGTATTACCTCCTTCGAAAGAAATTTAAAGTTTATAATTTATTCATACTTGTACTAGGGTTTTAGTTTTTAAACGAGAGAGTGAAGTTAATGGGTGTGTTATATGAACAGAGTGTCTCAGTTTGAGAAATTGCCTAGGCCATATTAAATAGTGGAGACCAGTTTTTGGTATCTTGTATATAGAAATTAAATATTTTCTGTCATGTGGTGTTTCTATGGTAAGTTGACAGGGTTTTCTTTCTTTTTATTTTTAACACCAAATCAGTGTTGTGTTTTTGTTTCCTAAATAATGAATCCTGAATAATGAGAGAGAATTTCTTGCTATAAAATATATTTATATCTAGAGAAGAGTTATTTCCAAAAGGTTCTTTCTTCTATACTAAAGCAAAGGTACTGGCTTCAATTAAAATCTAGCCCTTCCAAAGAGGAGGCATGAAATCTTTTTTTAGTTTATTGGTTAATTTTTTGATCTTTTTCAATGCAACATGCTCATATTTGTTCTCTTTTAAATTTTAACAACTTGTGGCTGTAGTTAGAGATGTTGAAGACATATTTGATTTAGAATTTAGATGTAATTCCTTGTGTGCAGTAGAATTTGAATGCAATTCCTTGTTTAGATTAGGATTCGAATACAACTTTGAGAATTATTTTAAAACCAGAAAGGAACAAATGTTGTTTTTTGTGTTTCTCAGTCTTTTAAATTTTGAAAAGATGCATTTTTCATCTTGAACTGAAGCCAATTAATGTTTGTCTCTAGAAATATGATTGGACTGGTCTTTTCACTAATTCATGTGTGTCGATTGAAGTAGTGTTAAGTTATTAGAGAGAGGACAGGTTCAATATAAATTTATGGAATTCTCTATTTATTAAACTCTTTGCATTCCTTCTTCTCAATGGTTGACATTATTTTATATTCCTAGTTTTATATTGTTTAGGAAAGATTACGAAGTTATCAATTCTTTCTATACTCCTACTTCACTAATATTTCTGTATTCCTATTAAATTTAGATTACTTTTCCTAGAAAAGACCACACTCAACCTATAAGTATTTCTTATATTTAAGTTTAAATCGAGGAAATTTCTTTTGGGGTCTCTGTAACTCAAGTGTGAGTCTTCAAAACCTTGAATAGGCCCCATTAAAGCCTTTTTTTTTTTTGAACTTTTATCTTTGTCAATGAAGAGATAATGGTGTGATTATAAGTATCTGTTGTGTGTCTGACGGAATACTATTTTCGTTTTGCAGGTTAGATATGGCTAAAGAACCAAAGAAACTGGAACCAATAAAGCATGAAAAAGCTCGTTTGGCAACCTTCAGGAAGAGAAAGAATAGTTTGTTGAAGAAGGCTTGGGAGTTCAAAACTCTTTGTGATGTGGACGCATGTATGATCATCTATGGTCCAAAACATAAAGATCAGCCTGGGAAGCCTGAGACCTGGGCCTCAGAGGAAGGTAAGCTAACTAGTATTATCAACAGGTACAAGGGTACACACAAAACTGATCAACGACAAAGAACGGCGCTTTCTTTGCCTAATTTAAATGATGATAGGGCTGTGCGAGTTCCCAAGAATAGTCGCAGACTGGAGTGTGCTACATGGGATCAACGTTTTGACAGTTTTTCAGAGGATCAAATGAAGAAAGCTCTTTGTAGACTAAACACTAAGCTAGCCTTGACAGCGAAAAAGATTTACACAATGAAAGGAGGTCCTAAAGCGATGGGAAAGTCCACATCAGAAACATCCGAGGAGTCTCAGATTAGCCACAACCATGTTCATCAGAATGTAGATAGCCCTCGACAACGTAAAGGGAAGAAGTCAATTGACATTCAGCGGCCGATCAGCTTCCAGCCTAACAATCAGGTTTATCAAATGCCCCCACTATCTTTAATGGGTACTCCAATATGGATGAGGCCAAATGCAAATAATCCGTATCCATCTGGGGGTGCATCTAGTAGCACAACTCCATACAGTCCACAGCAGTCTATTGGTGCATCCAGTAGCACCATTCCATTCACTCCACTACAACCATCAGTTCAGTGGAATCCCGCCTCGTCACAGCATCCCCTGCAGGGACCAGTTCAGTGGTGGTATCTCCCATTGTCACATACTCCCCTGCGAGGACCAGTTCCGTGGAATCTCCCATCGTCACAGCCTAACCAGTTTCTGGTGACGTCCTCAGGTGCTCCTTCTAAGGAGAATGCTGCTCAACTGAAGAAGTCAAGTGTTAATCTGAAACTTCAACCTCCTGGGCAGCAGCAAGAATGAAAGGCCTTAGATGAGGATATTTTTTCTAAGAACTTGTAAGCTTAGTTAGGCTCCTTGATAACGTTTAGGTTTTAGTTTTTTTACAAATTGAAGATTTTCGACTAATTTTGGTGGAGATTTGTAATGATCATTTTAGAATTTAGGGGAGATATGTGATGAAGTTAGACTTAGGCCTCCTCCCCTTCCTTGATTACGAATTGGATCCAATACTTATTTATTTATTTTTTATAAATACATACAAGGTTTGAAAAATGTATTTTTTTCAACTCTAGTAATCTTGATAATTACAAGTGTAGTGCAATACTATAAGCTTGTCAAATTTCAGTGTACACAGATGAACAGGCAATTCACTTTCTTAGAGCTTTTGCTTCTTACATCGAGAAAAAAAAAGCCAAAAAGGAACACTTACTTCTACAAAACTCTTTTGCTTTGTAACTGAAATCAACACATGAGGAGGTCAGTCTCCTGTTACTCTTTGTTTCTTAATTCTTGGCTCAATTTTCATTCATTCTCCAGTAAGCTTTGTTTGTGTCAAAACTGTTATTTAGCAACCGAAAGATTAGACCCTTTTGTTCATTTGTACCGCTTTCTTCCTAAATTTTTGCTTTGATTCACAAGTAGTTTCTTCTTTCTTGGTTGCCACTTTCTCGAATCATCATTCACAAAGGTTATTAATTTTGAATATCTGGCGTTGTATTTAGAGCAGTTGAGAGTTTCCTCTTCATGTTTTCTAATATTAGATTTTCATATGAATAATTAAGTTTTTTTTAATGATGAATTTTGATAGTTTATTAATTTGTGCCTTAAATTTTTCCTTTATTATATAGCACAACTCGAAGATTTGTGTTGGTTGTCAATTTTTTCCTTTGTAAATTCAAGCAAGTCCCAAAACATCAGGTGGGCATCAATGTTTAGACAGATTTTCTTATGTTTATTTAGCAAAGATCAGTGCATCTTTTGCAGCTATAGGAATTATGGGATTGTTCCAATTTTGTGGAGCCTTGTGTCCAAGACCCGTATTGCTGACTCTCAACATATTGGCAAGATATATTATATCCTGGGTTTGAGGCATCCCACAGGGACTGGCTTGATAACAGTGGCCTATTCCTGCGATCTAACTACTCGGTTTACGGTTGTGGCTTTTACACTGCCTTGGATGCTCAATTCTTTTTGCTGGTTGTCATTCACATTAGTACTGCCATAGTTTGGACCGCTAATAGAGGCAAATTGATTAGAGTCTGATAAGTTTGTTTTTGAAAGAATGGGAATGTTTATATGGAAATGGGAAATGGTGTAGCTTGGCCCACAAATACTACTGGAGAGAAAGTTGCATCCATGGAATTGCAGGACTCAGGCAACTTGCTATTGCTTGGGGACGATGGAGGTATTCTTCGGCAGAGGTATCTATTTGATGAAATAGGTAGCCTGCAACGCTCTCAGCAGGGTTCGGCTGGTTACATATATCAAAGTCTCTAGTCTCTACTGGAAGTGGTGATGAAAAGAGTACCGAGGGGAAAAATATTCTGTTAATTGTCTTCAAAGTTCTCGCAACCATATTGATAATTGCTGGTCTACTGTATGTCGGATTCTAGTATCAACTATCAACATAAAAAGAAGAGATTAATGGACTTTACTCAAGCAAACTTGGAAGAGGATGATTTGTGGGATAGTTTATCTGGCATGTGTTTTCGCGTCAGCTATAATGATCTTCATACGGCGACTGAAAGTTTCTCTACAAAGGTTGGCCAGGCAGGGTTTGGCTCAGTCTATCAAGGTGTGCATTTACCATCAGGTCATACTCAAAGGCTTCTGCGCAGAAGGGACTCACAGGCTTCTTGTCTATGAGTAAATGGCAAACAGGTCTTTGGATAAATGGATCTTCAAGACAGACGAGGAAAGTCAGTTGACGAGTTGGGATACAAGATTTAATATTGTATTGGGTACTGCGAAGAGATTAGCTTCTCCATGAGAATGTGAAGCAAAGATTGTTCATTGCAGACATAAAAACCTGAAAATGTTCTTTTAGATGATAATTTCAATGCCAAAGTATTGCCTATCAGTGCTTTCCCATTCTCTAGCAATATGTCTTGATATATTTCATGACCAAATGCGGGTTGTGGCAACTATGTAGAAGCTCTGATAAACTAGAATCTGGATTAATATTATGTGAAAAATAAATAACACCATTGTTTAATTAAGAAGAATCAAAAACTGTTTCAAAGTAGAAGGAAAATATATGGGAAGTAGTATTGAAAAATTTTGTCTACTAAGAACCCATCAGTCTCAGAGTATTCAATCTACACACTCCATTATCAGATAAGAACCATAAAGAACATAATAATACAACAACAAAACTGAGCTCATCACTAAGTGCGAAATTCATTTTATTAATTGCTAACCTTTTTCACGAATCTGAACTATCCAGTTTGGAAACGTAAGACTCTAAAGTATCCAAACCAAACCCGTATCCAAACCCTTGCCCGTACCCGAATCCGACACCGACACCACAACCCATTCCAACCCCAAAAACTAGGTTTAGCTGGTTCCACGACGAGCCACCAAAACCCACTCCGCCAACCAAGCCAAACCCGACTCCAGCACCACACCCGATTCCAGCTCCACCTCCAGGCCCCAACACTGTTTCCCTCATTTTTCTGTAATTTTCTTGCAAGAATTCCGTCACTGGAAATTGTTTCTTGGCATTGTTTTTCTTGCTTCCTGAACCTTTCCAATTCCAGAGAGAAGTGCCGGTGTCTGTTTGCCTGTGCTTAACTTTGGTTCTCATTGTTTATTGAGTAACGAGAAGGATAAGATTGAAACAGTCAACAATGTTACACTATCCGTCTTGGCATCATCATTTTGAACTTTAGGGATACGCCGACGTCTTATAGAGATTAGAGCTTGGTCCAAAACGCAGCACATTGAAATTATTGGTCCCTTTGTGTTTTATGTTATTCCTGGGATAAAAATAATGAGTAAAAGGACGTTTACCCATCAAAGGTTTGGCTTAACGACAATTTTCGCTTAAAAAATTAAAAAATATCATTTTTTTAATCTAAAATTTATATTTTGTTAATATTTAAAATATATTTTATTTTTTTAATCGAGATGAGTTACTAAGAGTCAAAGTAAAAAATATTTTGTAGAGTGAATAGAGGTGGAAAAGTAACCCGCCCGGCCCAGCCCGCGACGGGTTACTTTGTTTGGCGGGTCGGGCCTAACCCGCCTGCCAACAACGGCAAGCCGGGTTAGGCCCGTCATTTTCTCCAAAATGGCTGGCCCAGTCCGGCCCGCCAGCCCTAACCCGTCGGGTTAGGTGGTGGGCTAGGCCAGGTTAGCCCGATTTTCCTATTTTTTTATTTTTATTTAACTTTTCAAATAAATAATCATAAATATAATTGTTTTTAATTAACTTTTCAAATATCAATAATTCAATTCAATTTTTTTGTTTGTTAACATTTCAAATATTAATTCAATTTTGATACAATAAAATTATAATATAAGAAAAATTAGACTTATTGGAGTATGGAATTGGAATTTGGAAAATTGGAAATATGAATTAAAAATTACAAAAACTAATAAAAATTAAAATATGAGCAAATTGCAAAAACTAATAAATGAATAATTGAGAAATTAGAGAATATAAGAGAATGAGAGAATTTGAGTTGTGAGAAAAATGTGAGAACTTAGGGCCAATTTATAGGAAAAAATGAGAAAGAGAAATGATGAAAAAGACTCTTCCAACGGCTATATTTTAAGGGTAAAGGGGTAATTTGAAAAATAAAATAAAAATTTTTATTTTTTTTAATTTTTTTCGGCCAACCCGTCGGGTTGGCTGTTGCAACCCGCCGGGTTGGTAGGTTGGGCGTTATGACCCGTCGGGTTGTAACGGCCAACCCGTCGGGTTACACACAACCAACCCGGCGGGTTGCCGGGTCTCTTGCAAAAGAGATAAAATAGCAACCCGCCGGGTTGCGGGTTGCCATTGTGCAACCCGGCCCGTCCGGGGGTTGTTGCCGGGTTAGGATCAACCCGGCCCAAATTTTCCACCTCTAAGAGTGAAATCTATAAATCAAATGGTGGTGACCAATTAAATATTTATTGTTAAAAATTAGCTAAGGTTAGAAAATTATAGACTTTGCAATGATCGATAATCGATGAAAAATCAGATGTTAAAGTAAAAAAGATTTTATAAAAAGATAACTATAGGTTTAAATAGGGATGAGAAATAGAATTTTTATCATCAATTTGAATAATAACGAAATATTAAATTTGGTTGAAAAAATAGTATTTTATAACTTTTTAAGTAGAAAAGTGACATTAAGCAAACTTTTGGATGAGAAAAAGTCGTTTTCTCTAAAATAATAGGCGAAGGGCGAGCAGCCAAAAACTAATGAGTCAAGACTCAAGAGCAAAACAAGATTGACCAAAACTTGTCAAACAGGTTCAATTAACATGAAACACGGAGTTTCATCTGAGCACATTATGGGTCAATGTATTTCTTAAACCTAAATTTAAATACTCCTCAGCTCTCAACAGCCACCCCGGCCAACAATAGTTATCCAACAAGCCAGCTGTCCAATAAATAAGCCACCAATTAGAAGCGGTCATTGTTCCCCTAGGTGATCAACAATCATAACCATAATTCATTTTATAATCATCTTTCTTCAAATTAATTTTAAAGGAACGCTGAATAAGACCGAATCAATACGAGTTCATACAAATAAATTAATATTGACTCTTCAATTATTCAACCACATCAAAATTTTAATCTTAATTAGGAGGTAAATACTAAAAGTCAGTAATTGTTAACGGCTGAAAGAGAGAACTATGAGTAACATCACTTTATTGTCTGCCCACTAACTAATTCCATTTCATTTGTCGTTATTAATTAGACTGCTAATTGTGAGATTTCGGCAGCATAATATACCTTCTTCTGTGTAAGGGAAAGCTCTCTTTCTAGAATCTTGGTCATCATAATTAATGTCTTCTGCTACCAAACAACAACATTAGATGGGATTTAATTATAAAATGTGAATACACTAATCCATTTTTCAATGTTTTCTCCCGCCTGAGTGAGACAAAACTTACCAGTATTGCTTAGAATTTTATACAAAGGGTGAATTTGTTTCACACACAAAATCACAAGTCTAGGCTGAATAAATTTTTTATTTTTTTAAATGTTATCCCTTCAATTTCAATGATTCAGTCTTAATTAAAACTATAATTGGACTAAATCATGCAAAACTAAC